CACACTTTCCCTCTCTGTTCCTATGGCATATTTGTCCCTCTTGGGATTTGTACTATTTTTGTTTCTTAAGGCAGTTAATTTACTTATTCTTGCTGTGGATAGGTGCTTGTCTGAAAATGTTGTCACTTTTTTCTCAATTACTCTGACTTATACTTAAGTACGGGCACTCTAGTTTAAAAAAAGTTTCTTCTTGGCTACACAATTTCCATCACTCATCTGTCCATCTCCACTGTATAACATTTGTTTTAGTGCCCTAGTGGACCGCTGTAATACCCATCTCATGCTGCATTCCTTGTGTGGTTCAAAACAAATGAAGAAATATTGGATGTTTTTTAATAAAAGTATGTGCAAATACTGAAAGCCAAACAGATGGGGCAGAGGGTGACGAATAAGCAAATAAGAGAACTGGAATGGATCTCAGCAAGTGAGAGCTTTGTGATTATTGTATTGTGATGGATATTGTGCCTAAAATATATCAGTAACAGAATGTTGCTGATCTATAAGCCTTTGATTCACAATCAGCCCAAAGATGGTCAGTTTTCTGAATGTTTAAATAGACAATCCCATCTGTCTTCTCCTATTTTGCTCTCCTCCGCTCACTGCTGTCCCCAGCCTCCACAGCTTCTGTCTGTCCATGTGTGTGCCCTCAGCATGGCACTGCAATGACACACTGTGACCCCACACGCTAAAACAGGCTGACATCAGGGCACACACCACATTGATTCACTTCGTCCCCTTTGACTGGACGAGGCACTTTCGGAGTTGGTGCCCCCTCTCAGTTTTGGATTTATTTTTTTGCAAAGTTATTCAAGAGTGAGACCATTACTTGCATGGGTATTTAAAATGTTAAATAATTATTCACTGTTCACTGATAATTAATACAGTATACATACAAATGAACATTTTATAACATTTTGGCCTTTATATTCTCAATATACCTTTTGTTCCAGTAATACCTGATGTATCACTAATTTGAACAGTAATCACAAATGACCACTGTATGCCATTTTCTTGCCATAGACCAAAGGCTAAAGGCTAATTGAAAATTGTGTTGTTGTGTTTAATTAAATCATAGTCAAATCTAGATGAAATGCTCCAAATGTTATTGTTGTAATTTTCACAGCCAGTTTGAAGCCAGTGGTCACACATTCCTTCTGCTCTGTAGATTATTGCCAAATGGTAGTGCATAATTTGGAGCAAAGTAAATTTACCCTACGTAAATTCCCCATGTATGTTTTACCTGGAGGCCTTAATATCAAATTTGGCTTTCTGTTTTGTTTTTTAACATAGAACAGTTTATTAAAATTATGCTCAAAGGAGAAGTTGTGGGTGTTCCTTTATTCTTGTAGTTGACCGATTGAGAGGGTTACTTGTTTGGGTAATCAAGATGACTGCGCTCTTGCACATGATATACCATTTCATACAGGTTGAGGTCATTGTCTTCAAAGTACATCGAGTGCCCTTTTTAACTGTAGCTTTTCATCACAAGAAGTAAAGACACAAACTCTCCCAATTACACTGGACACAAGTTGGTGCGGGACAATCATCGGTGTGCTCTCCTGCTCCAGCACATCATAAGGCAGCTCTGATTGTCTGTATTCCTTGTTTTCAAACTGTTTCACCTTCTACTCAGCATCTCTCTATTCCCCATAGAGCTGCTGTAAGATGGGAGGCTAGTACCTTTTGTCCTCCATGTCTGCTCCTCCACTCCTCGTGCCTAATTGGCATAGAGTGCTGACATTTACACTCTTCGCCCTCAGTGACATGGTTCCTCTTCAGTGTGAAACTCCTTATTAGGTCGACATGATTTTTGCCCCTCTTTTTGTGTCTTTCTTCTCGTTTCTTCTACAGGTACTATATCTTCTCATTAAAACATTCTATTTTCATCACAGGAATGGGGAATGCACAGTTTAGCCATATGTTTGAGGATTTTATTTTGAGGCATTGTCATGTTTAAAAAATGATTCTGGCATTTTGCATAGTTTACATGTGAGGAAACGCAATGCTGCTGTTTACCTTTTGTATATTTTGATAATCTGCTCATGACCAAACTGGGGTAAACCATTCTGTGTTCAATAAAGTGATTGTCCTCAGCAGCCTCCCAATACTGACTTGGATAAAAGCTTCTCTTTTAAGCCTGACTGAGTGATAAAGGATTTTACTGGCTGAATGCTCTTGTTTTGAAGCCTGACAAGAAAAGCGGCCAAGATTGAAAAAAACAGTTTTGTTGCACTGTATTATTGGCACTTTTGTCTGTGGTTACACTCATAGTTTCAGACATCCTTTACAATTGACCTAGAATGACCTGAACAACTTCACTGCATTTTCGACACGCGCATTACACAATAAACAGCTGTGATAATAGCACTGTAGACTAACAAGGAAGAACACATGGTCCAACATTAAACTCACTATTCCATTTCTTCACATGTGTCTTGTTTCTGAACCCATCTGCCATGTTATGTGCCACACCTGGCAGTGGCAGGGCATTAAGCTCAAAGGAAAGCCATTGAAGAGTTGAAATGAGGAATTCATTTAACCTTGCTTGTTGGCATGACAGAGAATAATGGAGGTGTATGCAGGGATGGGATAGCATAGCATGCAGTATTGTCATTCATAGCTTTATTTTAATGTTGGTGCCTACCATTTACTTTCCTTTCACTTCTTCAATGCCATTTTGTTAAAATTTTTTTTTCACACTCTGCAAAGGGACACCTGTCACTGTGGAAGCCTGTGTTTGTCTTCTTCCAACTTGGAGCAATACAAAGACCAGCCTCCTTTAAAAATGTAAATGCTTTCTATTTGTGGGCTGCTCCTGTCACAGAATAGGTGAACACATTGAGGGACGATTTGGTGCACAGCTGTGCGTATGGTTACATCTGTGTGTGCGCGTATGGTGCCAGTCTGCCTTTGTGCAACTCATTAACAACAACTTCCTCTATGCTTTGACTGTGGCACACCTGGATCTGCTTGGCATTTGATAGGCTAATTTGGCTTTTTTTTTTTTGAGAGAGAATTGGTTTTGACAGAAAGGCATATTGCAAAAGGGTTTATAATGGAGGTTTTAAATGCATGTGATGAACAAACTGCCTTGTGAAATGAAACGTACACCAATTAAAACAACTATTGTAAACTGACCATAGCAAACTTCATTCAGTTTTAGCTTCTAATAGTCTATCCAGTGTCAAACGCTGGTCTTTTTTTCTTTGCATTATTATGCTAATTCTCTAAATGGTAACATAAAACTTTGAGCTTTGATGATTTCTCTTTATTAAAGGTGCACCATGTAACTTTTTTGATTATTATTCTGATTATTGCTTTGCCTAGAAATATTTCCATCTTGCAATTACATTCAACTATTCAATTACAAGTCTTTCTGTGGCTCAAAAAAATATAAGACATTATCTATTATTCTCTATGTCAGAGGTCCCAATTTTAAGCATTTTCTGAAGTGAAAATTCCTAAATTCCTTTTTTTCTCTTGTTTCAGGAAAAGACCAAAGATAAAGACAAGCGTTTCCGTCCACTTTATGACATTCCCTACATGTTTGAAGCCCGCGAGTTCCTTCGGAAGAAGCTCATTGGGAAGAAGGTGAGATCCAGTCATTATTATTGTCCTACCTCCCTAAAAAGCTTTTCAAATGCTCTTCTCTGGGCTATTCATATATTCAAACACACTTTTCCATTCCTTCAGCAGCAATACAATTATGTCTTAAGCCTATCTATTTCTGTGCCGCTGCGAATAGCAAGTGCTCTGATGCCCCGGGGCGTGGAAATGGCCCGCACGCACCCTTTAAAGAAACAGTGCTGATTCCCTCCCCTTGTGTCTATTGATCTACTCGACGTGTAGCCTGTGGGAGGCTGTGATTTACACAAATTTGACCCAACAGGAGCCAGTGTTAAGAATGCTACCAACTAAAGCTGCTTACTACTCAACATATGCATTTTCTACAGCCAAGTAATATCTCTAAAACATTATGTATAGCAGTTCAACCACTGTACCTTAATAGAAAAATAATGTTCCCCCAAATTCTGTATAAGAATACAGACAAACTATCGTATTACAAATTCACAACATGCAAGCTTTCAGAAGCCTGGAGTTTTGGCATTTAGAAAAATATTTGAATATATTCTTATGTCTGTCATTTTAATTGCCCCCATTAATGTCTATTTAATGACTAAATGTATTGCCTTTTTATAAAGAGAAAAGCAGGAGTAAATTACTTTATTCAAACAGTCAGCTGAGATCTGCTTTTGAGTTTAAATAAATCGATTGTTTTTTAATGATAAATTGACTAATATATAGGATCAACCCCATAGTTGTCAGCACCGCTCCAAAAGTGCATTTACAAATTTAGATCTCAAATGCCTTTGAGCACTAAATTTAAATTAAATTTAAATATTTTGAAAATGATTGTGTGTGTGTGTGTGTGTGTGTGTGTGCGCGTGTGTGTGCGCGTGTGTGTGTGTGTGTGTGTGTGTGTGTGTGTGTGTGTGTGTGTGTGTGTGTGTGTGTGTGTGTGTGCGTGTGTGTGTGTGTGTGTGTGGGATGGATGATGGATTATACATATACATATACTATATGTATAGTGTGTATGTGTATTATATATATATATATATATATATATATATATATATATATATACATATACACACATATATATATATAACATACACACACATATATATATATATACATACACACATATATATATATATACACACACATATATATATATATACACACATATATATATAATACATACACACTATATATATTACAACACACATATATATATATACATACACACACATATATATATATTATACATACACACACACATATATTATATATACATACACACACATATATATATATATATACATACACACACACATATATATATATATATACATACACACACATATATATATATATATACATACACACACACACACACATATATATATATATATACATACACACACACATATATATAATACATATACATACACATATATACATATATATATATATACATACACATACACATATATATATACACATATACACATATATATATATATATACACACACATATACATATAGTATATGTATAATACATATATATATGTATATATGTGTGTATGTGTATATATGTATGTGTGTGTGTGTGTATATATACATAATATATGTATATATGTATGTGTGTATAAAAAATAAAATAAAATAATGCAGCTTTTCTTTCTTGCTGTGGCATAAGTGTGCAATAGTTCTGAATTAAATCTGCCTTTACAAAGCAGACACATTTTTTAAATTGTGAAATCTAAAAAATGCAGGTTTTTCGAGGTATAAACATAACCTTTCTGCTGCCTTGGCAACAACTGAAATCATCGCCCTCATAGGCTTTTTAATGACATGTGCGGCCTTGGGTAAAAAGATAAGTTTGATGCAATGAAAGTATGGAACACCGTGAAAGGCAACTGAAGCAGGACTCTGCAGCTATTACTTAACATTGTGCCAACATTTTCTTTTTGTTCAATGCTGAGATGGAGATATCATATTCTTTTCTGGATTTATTGTGTAGATGTCTAAATGTATATATTTTTCTTTACAATTTTAAATGTTATGGCTTCAAAAACATGTTTTTGAGTTGTGTATTTCACAGTACTTTTTGGTACTTTTTTTTTTGGTTGGATACATATTTTTAAATGATCATCAATCTACATAATTTACTCTTACTTTTTAGGATTTTCCAAAATGGCATTTGTAAAATAATCTCTTTCTATTGGTACTCCACACTCATTCCACAATATATACAGTATATTCCTGTATTTTTAGGTCAGTGAGAACACAAAAACAACCCAATTTCTACTTTCCTCCTTAACCTGTTGGATGTGACTAAGCATTGCAAATGGTTCTCAGTGAGTGGATCTGAAGCCTTAATGTCTAATGCCACTCTGATTTAGAAGAGTAAAGCTGCATTAAATGCCTTTTCCATTACAGTCACATTATCTATAGAAAAGCTTTTGATCCGTTACAAAGTATATCTAATACAGTCATATTAAGAAAATCATTTTTTTCTCATGATGAGCTCAATGTATGCATTGTTAATCATAGAGACTATACAATGGGTTTGTTTTTTTCATTTACATATATGGGAATAAATCCAACTTGTACACAAAGTACATAGATATGCAAATGTTTACCAAGTGTCAAGTTGTATCATAAATCCTTGCATGTCATAAATAGGGCCTTTTACTTCTCATTCTGTCACTTACACCAGTCTTCAAGTCTCGTCTCACTCTCGTGTATATACCCAGCACTTTCTAAAATGACAGCTCTTGCATGGTGACATAATCCCAAAAAGCATGATTTGGCTAACTTTATAAGTAGTGCTTCTTGTCTGCTTGGGTCTCAGCCTCAGTAGAAAAAAGTCCAATGAAAATGTTGCATTAAGCCACTTATCAGGGTTGAGCACATTCGGATAATCCTGCGTTCTCAAAGTGGCTCCTGTTATGCAGCTGCTAGTGCACACTTTTCCTCCTTACTCTGCTGCATGAGAGCTATCTGTTTGCGAAAGTGAAACTCTATTCACAATTCAACATTTGGTGTGTTCAAGCAGATGCAAAGCTAGTAGTCTTAAACCTCAGGAGCTCCTATGGTTCAAAATCCAGATGGGGCTTTCACTGCATGTCTTCCTTTAGGATGAGTCAACGATCACTACTTTGAAATGTATGTAAATAAAATGGCATAAAAAACATACATGAAAATCTTATCAAGCTTTTGAAATAGTTACTAGTGTGTGCGCTTTTAAAATAACAAATAAAAAAAAAAAAAAAAAAAAAGTCAGGTTTGTTTTTATTTTACAAATCATTGTCAGATGAATCAGTAATTGTCTGTACCACATTATACAAATTACAATGTGCTCTGACTCCTGTGTTGTGTTATTGATGTGAAAAGCAGCCATCTTTTGTCCCAGTAAAACAAAGCCATTCGGCCACACACACACTCACACAGTGATGTCTCTGTCCTTGTCATTATCACTCAGCCCCCTTCCTAAGCCCTCCTCTGGCTTTTCCCCATGCCGTGCTCTCCTCTGGGGGCCTCACTGATAGCTTTGCCATATCAGGAAATCTGTGAGTTAGCCCGTGGAGAATGGAGGATGAGACTCCCCTAATCTGACATCACTGGTCAAAGTTTATAATCTGTCATCACCTTAGCTAATGGGTAACCTACTGGTCCTTGGCCTTCCCATCCCCTAACTCCCAGTACACCAGAGTATTTGCACTGGTTCTGGGTTTTATGCTCTTTTGTGGTTTTATTCTAATTCAGGTAAATGGCCATTTCATTTATTTCAATTACTCAAAATGGTTCCTTTTGTATTATCTTTTAAAATAACCATTTAAAGATTAATGTGTCATGGTGTCTACATTCAGTATCATTTTCTGTGTTGTTTCTATGCCAAAGACCCATATATTAACTTGCTTATGTTCTATTAATATATTACCTGAATGAATGTATTATTAATCTTCTTACTGTCATTCTTGTCATTTGGAAAATTCCCAAAAAGTAATTCAAAGGCAGTGTTCTTTGCAAATCATCTAGGCACTTTCATTTTTCATTTGAAAAACCATCTCTTCCCCAATTTGAAAAAAAAATTGAAGCAATTACAAGATACTCTGTTGCCTTGGCCAAATTTCATCATGTCCTTCATGTTTGACAAAACTCAAAATTACATTTTTGTGCTGCAACATTCTTGCTGTTGGCTCCCCTCCACCACCAATTCTGACCCACCAAGGTTTGAAATGTTCCAGTAGACGCCTGAATCAGAGGCACTCTCAATGCAAGTCGGTAAGATTCCACGTGAAATACAGGGCCACACACAGTAGTGACAAAGCTGTGTCCTCAGGCCACTTACTTTAGAGTTAGTTTTAGGCTGTGCTAGTTGGGGTGATGCATGTGTGCAAACGCCTCTCCTCTGGGCTGAGCTACTGTGCCGCCTGACATGATTTACACTGACTGGGTGACCTTGGAAACTGGGACAAACACACAACCCACTCACACTTGCAATTTTAACGCCCCAGATCAAATGATCGCTGTAGACGCTCTCACTAAACCTGATATGTTATGTTGACCTCTGCACTTGTGTCTGTGCCCCTACAGGTCAATGTGACAGTGGACTACATTAGAGCTGCAACTGGCCCGGCAGAAGGCACCCCCACATTTTCAGAGCGCACCTGTGCAACAGTCACAATTGGTGGCATGTGAGTAGAACAGTTGATTAAATAACATTTGAGGAGTAATTTAATCTATATCATATTAACTTGAAATGTTGTGTAAATATGCTTTTTTTAGATTTTATATTAATATTGTGCCTTTTATTCTACTAAATTGTAATGTGTTTTGTTTGTACAAACAGTACTAAAAGTACAGTAGTATTTACCTAATGCTATTTCACTCTTTGCAGCATACACCTAAAGGAGACCATAGCATTTACAGCTCAATAAATAAACTCAAAGCTGCAATTTTATGTGTACAATTTCCATTCTTGGCTGGGTTGTAAAATATCTGGTTCAAGATTATTGCAGAGGTTTTTTGGTCCACAAAACATTTTCCCACTCTTCCCCAATACACATCTCTGCATTTTAATTTTCACAAGGGTTATCTGAGTGCAGGCAATTACTTTCTATCTTCAAAAACAGTTATGCACAAAACCATTTTATCTTGCAGACACATTTTATGCAGGGCTACAGATAGAGATGTTATTAAACTATTCAGAAGTTCAAGCTATTTCAGAAGTGTTTTTATGTGGTGAAAAACATTTAAAATAATTTTCCCACCAAAATGGATTAAAGCTGCCATTTGTTGTTTGTGGTGTTCTGCTCCCCTTTAGAACTATGTTATTGAACCACAATTGATAGAAAAAACAATTCTTTCAGTCCCAACAATATTGTGATCTTTTTGATGCTTCAGTCATAAATAAATTGAGAACAAAGTAACCTATTGACCAGCCAATTATAACCCAGCACCAGCCAACAGCAGCAGCTGGTCTCCATGGATAACATTTGGCATATCCCCTAATGAGCATTGACATGACTAGGCTAGGCCAAGATATTTACCTTCTGTCACTCTGTCTCCTGGCATAGTTGGTTACATTGTGTCTTGTAATAATACCGTAAATTAGAGAAATTATGGAATTAAGTAATTTGTCACATAAAGGTTGTATTTTAAGAATGTAAGTGAATGTAATGGGGCTATGATTCACAAAAGATCAGATCCAGTTTATTTCAGTATTTGGTGTGTATTTCAGTGGTGGCATTTGGTGTGCAAAATTTGTAAATGACAGACCTGTCAAATAAAGTAGGAATTCTTAATGAACAGGGCGTTGCTTGCCTAGAGGCATGGAAGAAAACTAATATCAGATGAATACTTTGGCCTTTGTTATGTTTTGTTCCAAGAGACCCTGTAATTCAATTCCCAATTAATTGTTTAAATAAATGTATATTTCCACGTCATTAATCGAATTCACTGGCTTGTGCCACTGTATGGTCTGATATCCAGAGGTGTTATGATATAGATGACAGATGTGCTTTTCAGTGGACAAATGGGACTGTGCTGTCTGCCCTTCTCCCACACTTGATCTAGAACAGCCATGTCTAAGGGCCAGTAACTAAGTGCTACATTAACTACAACAATGCTCCCTCTTTGTGCCCTTCTCCACATCAGCAACATGGCAAAGCAGTGCTTAGTCAAGTGTGCAGAGCCAGCATTTAACCAGCCCTATGTTCTTTAGCAAGGCCATATTATTTATTATTGCTCAGCTTATACTTCCTTTCCAAAATTGTTCTATATTAGTCTTTTAAAGCCTCCTCCTCTCCTCCTATTATTGTTTGCAGTAACATTGCAGAGGCTTTGGTCAGTAAAGGTCTGGCCACGGTCATCAGATACAGACAGGATGATGACCAGAGATCCTCCCATTATGATGAGCTTTTGGCTGCAGAAGCAAGGTGAGGAAAGACCCACTCAATACTTTCCTTTTTAAATGAACACATATTCAAATTGTCATATTTCCTCAGTTGAAAGATTAGATTACATTAAACTGTTATACCATACATCTCTTTTAAAATGATCATAGCTTCTCTCTCCTTTCATCCTTGACCTTGTGAATGCTACTCTTGGGATATAGTATAAAAATGACCTTGAAGCTTTCTTTCCAAATTGCTTTTACCCACTGAGCAAGGTGCTGTCACCAAATTAATTCACATGGTATTATATATTATACGTATTCACTATATATAAAAACAAACCAAAAAAAACGCTCTTTACCCAGGGCCCATGAATATAATTATGTAGTGATCCAGTACAATTCAATATTGGCTGTAGATTAAGATCTGCTGGTTGTAGGTTGAGCAGATTCAGCCCTTTTTGTATAGAACACTCTCTCTTCTCTTGTGTCACTGCTCACTCCATTTCTTCCTCTTTTCCTCTCCATTCCTTACTCTTTTGCACCGTTTGTTCTTATTTCTCCACCTTAGCTGTTTTCGATTTTGTCCTTCTTTGGCCTTGCTCTGCTGGGTCGTCTTTTCACTCACTTCCTCATCTTGTCTATTCAGCTCCATCACAGTCTCTCTCTGTCCCTGATGGGGTTTTATTAAAGCTGATGAGAGGTTTCTGTCTATAGCCTAAGTTTTATTTTTAGATCTCGGTTGCATGAGGCTACTGGCCCGCAACCTCCCAGGAACCTCAGCTGTACTGCTAAATGAGCATCGCTTACCATCTATATGCATGCTTGCATAGATGGGCACCAGTAGTGATTTACATCCCTCAGAGCCAAGGGATGCATGACTGTCGACCAGCTACAGTGGCCTGGGAACTCTTTAACTCATCTAGAGCTCGAGGAAGTGCCTATGAAGAAGACTTCATGAGCCATTGTCTTATAGAATGCATCTCTTTAAAAAGCAAACATTTTCAACCATATTTGCTCATATTTGTGTTTTCTCATGTCACTATAATTTGTCTTGGAACAAATTATATTTTGGCTTTTCAGTTGAGCTGTAATAGCTGTTCAGGGAAGAAAAGTGGCATTGATTTACATATTACTTTGAGATGCAACATTGTTTGTCTGTCATTACTCATGTGCTCTCATTCTATTCTTTGCGGCTCAGGGCCATTTAATTTTCCTAATGGATAACTGTGGTGTTTGTGCCACATTTACTGTGTATTGTGTGTTTTTGACATGACTGACCACAGAGCTATCAAGAATGGCAAAGGGCTACACAGCAAGAAGGAGGTCCCCATCCACAGAGTGGCTGACATCTCTGGGGTGAGTCATTCTTTAATGTTTTAAATTCCAAAAACATTTTCTCAATGAGCATTTCAGTTCATAATGCAAGAGTGCCAAATATTGTGATCATTAATTTAGACCTCAAAGACACTTTTTCATCTGAAGATAAGCAGCCTCTAAAAATAATCAGAGCCATTAATATAAAGATCAGTAGCACTTCGTCCTGCCTTGTTTACGAGTGCCTTGGGGCTTGATAGAGGGATCATTTGGCTAATGAAGCCTGATTGGAAGTGCTCTACGAATGAAATTAGCTGTTTTTCTTGTAAAGTTTATAAAGTGCAGAGTAATGGTTCAGTGGTACATATATTTCAAGCATCTCTGAGGACTCATTTCATTTTTTACAAGATGTTATGATCTGTCTCCTCTTTGTTAAAGAGTCAAACTAATACTGAAGTTCAAAATGTTAATGATTAGTGTTAAAAGCAAGTCAATGTTTGTTAACAGCAAGTCAATGTTGTAGTGTACACTCTCAACTATAAACTAAAGCAAGTGTGTTCCTGTTAGACTTTATTTTCATAAGCAATTCAACATTTATTTACCCATCTACTATTCAGAGCTTTTGGACTTGAAAGCTTTAACCAAATTGGCACACTAACTTTAAACCATAGTATTTTTTCTGTAATAATAACTATGCTTTGAATATATGTGCAGTTATTTCCATATGTTGTCCATAAGGTAAATAGTTTGGCACATGCTGGTCCCTAGCATAATAAGGCTGTGTCATGCATTCATGTGTGGTTTGCAGAATGATGTGCTCCCCTAAGCTCTTATTAGTGTCGTTAGTGTTAGTGTCATCCTCCCTATGTTTCTGGTCAGTGTCATTATTTGCAGCTGTAGCTCCTCCTTGCCCTACAGTTTGTGTCTATTTCAAACGGATGGTACGGTATTTGCTGCACAGCTCAGGACTAGTGCCAGCCACTGCCAGTAGGCGTACATGCACGTGCAAGCACCAGTTGTTTGGCTAATGTAATGAGACTTCTAATAAAAGGCCTAAAATAGCACTACTTCGCCTCCTCTCTCCCACCTCCTTCCTTCTTTTCCTTTAGTTTTGTGATATACACCCACAAATTGCTGTGCTCAGGCTTATGCATTACCCACACACACTTACAGGAAATTAGAACTACATACATTGGCATCCTGAGCTCAAAGGTATCCTAGAATTATGCATGGTATGAAGAGGAGGCTGCATCACAAATAGAGCAGCGATATGTTTGTAAATGTATGGTGTTTCAGATAAATGCAGAAGGTGGGAGGAGAATGGAGAAGGCTCTTGATTCACCTCATGCCTCTCTGGGTTGCATAATAATGTCCTCTCACAGGTTCCTCCTTTTTCTGAACCAAGTTGCTGTGCCCACACACTGCAGGTGCTGTTGTGTGAACGGCTGACTGTTTGCTTCTGTTATCTCCCACTCAGCGGCCTATTTTGGACCACAGTGGGTGGAGTTCAGGTGCTGAATCTTCAGGCCTGGATCCCAACCACATGTCATGATTTTAAGTATCACCGGTGATTTGTTCTTCATGCCCAATGGCCCTAATGCCATGAGAAGCATTATTTAACCATTTCAACATAAGATATTTTGAGGGTTTCATCTAAAGAATCTGTCTGCCTGTAGTTTTAATCATTTTAAAGTCTTAAAAATAAACGTATTGTCCATCAGGAAACACAGAAAGCCAAGCAGTTCCTGCCATTCCTGCAGCGTGCTGGCCGATCAGAAGCTGTGGTGGAGTATGTCTTCAGTGGTTCTCGTCTTAAGCTGTACATGCCCAAAGAAACGTGTCTCATCACATTCCTCCTTGCTGGTGGGTAACCTTTTATTCTCCTCATATTTAGTTCTGTTGTTTAATTTGTAGTAGATGCTTTATCCTGCAGTTAAACTATTGTATTTTTAACATTTTATTTCTATTTTCCCTGATCATTCTTTACATTAGCACTTTACCGTTCGTGTTGTTATGAAACACTATAGCCACATCTGCCCAGATAATGGGAAGTGACTATCGCTATTCTTGTAATAAAAATGCAGTTTAGATGGACTGTCCCTTCTGCACAGCTGCTCAAGGAAGATATCTGAATCTAGGTATCTAAATCAGAATGTGTAACAAAAAAGTATAACTATAAGGATGCATTTTAAAGCATTCATAGCATCTACAATCTGAGCTAATGATCTCTCAGCAGATTCTTACAGGATGCCAACAAAACAAAGACTCTTTGCCTCTTTGGCTCTGGTCAAATGATCATTGTCATGTAATGATCGTGAAAATACAAAGGCTGGAATATGCAACATAAGATGTATCTGTTAAGTTTAAGTTTCTCTACCATTTAAGTCAAAAATACTGTAAATGATGCTGTAAATGAAACATCATAATGCAAAATGCTAAAGACTGAACTAAAAATAAAAAACTTAAAATGTTATTCATTTCATGTGTTAGTCATTATAAGGCCTTGTCCATTATTTTTTTTCCTTTTGTATTGTAGATGTCTCAAAGTAAAAATGTTGAGCTTAGCAGGTGAAACTCTCTCAAATCTTAAGATATCCAGGCTGTTAATACTGAACATTTCTTGTGCGTGCAGTGCTGTGTAATAATTGTCACTTGCTTTAGTTTGCACATGTGTTTCCGTTATTTCAGTTTTAAGTAGAAATCAATCACAGGCCTTTTTGGAATCCAAACAAAGGTGAGGAGAAAGACCTGAGGTTTGCATCAGGAGGTGAGGGGAAGTCTCAGTTACTTTTCCTTTAATAGACCTTCTGGCTGGCTGCTGCAGTGATATGTGCTTATGCAAATTCAGTGGGGGGTAACGGGAGTAGCTTTCATTCTAATGGGTGCTATAATGGAAGGGGTACTCACTCTCCTTTCCAATACCATTGGAAATGCTTTAAAAAAGATGAGAGCAATGTTATAAGGTGAGGTCAGTGCAAAGGGGCTGTATATGCTTGTACACCATCTGGGTCACCAGATAAAGGCCACATCAGGTGAAATTCTTTGACAGAAAGGTTGGTTGCTCTGGATAAACCTCACCCTTGAACACAAAAACTCACCCAAATTGTCCTCACAAAGCATTGATCAACACAGTGTGTGACCTGAGCCCACTTTGATTTTGTTCTTGGTGTTGTACCTAGAACATGCGACAATGTCTGTGAGAGGCACCTTCTCTCTTGCTGCGTGTGCTATGGAACTGTGTTGGAAATGGAAGATGAGAAAGTAGAGCAGAAAAAAAACTTTACTAAAAAAAAAAACAAAACAAAAAAACTGTAGGCAAAATAAAGCTGATGATTCAAAGTCAGAGAAGCTGGCAAATCATTTTTTAGCTTTTCCTTTGACCTTCACACAGCAGTGTCCTTCACACCTTGCTGTCCTTTTGCATTTTAGTGGAATTCAAACATTTATTACAGAACCATACCATGATGTGTGAGGCCTTTAGATTTATCACTAATGACTTTCATCTTAAAGATAATCTTAAATGTGCCTCAACCTTTTATGCAAACTGAAAAAAATGTCAATAAATGATTGCCAAACTTATCAATTTTAAATCTATTTTATATCCATTCATTGTGATGCATCAAATTATGTAATAGTCATAAGAAATCAGTGTATTTAGGACAAAACATGTTTTTGTATTATTTAACCTCTATTTACAATGCATATTGCAGGAAATTATGCAATGACTAGGAACAAGCCTCTATACTTAATGATTTATACATGGAGTTCTCAATAGCACTTAGGGCTGAAACCACAAGTTGATTGAGATGTTTGCCAACTAATTTATCAAGTCATTATCTGGACGGTACAGACAGGGCATGTGCTGAGAGAAGAGGTGTTATCAGACAAAGCAAGAATTGTGAAAAAGAACCTCATTTATAGGCCTTTTGCAATCTAAATGAATAATCAATTAATGTAACAATTATTCATTTAATTAATTGATTTGCAAAATAATCTTGGTTTACTTTGCTTTGTCCCTTCTAAGAAGCTTGTCTGGCTGTGACTAATTAGGCAGCCTTTAAACTTTGTACTCTTTGAGAGATACAATAAAACTTGACTTCTTTGTGTCTAACATTCTTAAGTCCTTTTTTGGAGGATTAGAGAATCCCTGCTCCAGCCTTTATCTGAGCTGTGACCAAACCAAGCAGAAACTCAGTATCTCCTTGCCTGCAATTACTTCCTGTTCTGTGTATTTACTAACCAATTCCCCTATTTCTCATCTTTTTTCTGGCTTTATCAAACGCCATTTTTATGCTGCCACTGTTGTATTCATAGGGTTGCACACAGATGCAAATGTGCATGTGTTTATAGGCCAAATTATTTGTCTGTAATAGGGCAAATTATGGATTGACAATATACAATAACAAATGTTTCAAGAAACAACAAAAAAAAAACTCACACTTGCTCTGACAAAGGCCATACATTGCGTTACAACATAGCCAGAAATTGCCATGAGTCTGACTCAGCCTCTGGCCTGAATTTAACTTCCCTTAGGCATTTGTTCACTGTGCAATTTTACATAAGATGAGTTTCATGGTAGTCTTTGGACAGGGTCATCTAATGGTAAATCTGGATTTTTTATTATTATTATTATTATTATTATTATTATTTATTTATTATTTATTATATTTTTTAATTTTATTATTATTTTTTTATTTTATTTATTATTATTATTTTTTATTATTATTATTTTGCTCAGTGCTTTTATATGCTCTCCTGACTGTATGTAATATCATGGTACCATATTGATATGATGAACTGGTTAATCCTCTTCATGACAACCACTTGTGTTTCTGATTGGCTATTTCTGTGCTTAACTTCTGTCCTGGTGTTGTCTGTGGGCAGGAATCGAATGTCCTCGCAGCTCCAGAGCCACACCCGGGGGGATGCAGCTGGCCGAACCCTTCAGTGAAGAGGCCACGCTGTTCACCAAAGAACTGGTGCTGCAAAGAGAGGTAAGCAGATAACAGGGCCTCTACATCTGAGCTTTGAGTTTCAAGTAGGCTTTACTGCACCACAAGTCCTTTTAAATAGAAGAGCAAGCATGGACTCTATTAACTATGTGAGAAATGTACTGTTCTTGACAAGTGAATATTGTAAGAATCTCAAAACACATGTGAGGTATTCCCATTCTGCACTGGTCAGTAGACATTATAAGTGGAACAAGGAATGATCAATGCCGTGTATAGATTTTATGGTAAACAAAGATCCAACTAAGCTACTACAGCTCTCAAAATGTTATGTCCACTGACAATATGGAGGTGGTCATAATTTTGAGCCTGATTAATGCAGCTTTCAAACATCTCTGTTTGTGAAAGGATACTGCTGCACAGTTAATGTTGATGGGTCAAAGGATGAAAACCACATACACACAGCACAAAGACTGCTCTCCTGGTGGCAGATCAGTGCTCCTCGTTCTTACAAAACTCCATCCACAGTGCACTGTTCATTCACATGCTAATAGGTTTTTATTGGAGGCAGTGAACAGACCAAAGCCATGATGGAACTGGCTAATCCGGTCTCCACTTATCCAGACCTCACACTCTTTTGGCTCTCTTCACTCTCCCTCTCTGTCCCTATCTACTTTTTAATAGTCCTTTTTTGCATAGCCTGGCTGACTCTACTGTCCTCTGCTGTTTTTAATTGTCATGGAAATGTAACCCTGAGGTGTGCTTAGGCAAGTGTTTACAGTACTATGTAAAGGCTTTAGACACGTTTTTACCAAAGCCCTGAACAATGAAATGTTAATCGATGAATAAAGGTAAACAACTGAATAAATTAGAACACAACATTTGCAAAGGCCCTGTTCCTAAAATATAGTGACGGCTAGGTCCTGCACACTGATTAAGGATCCAGTAGCTTCATATAATTTAATTTATTTTTTAAAGTTATGCTGCTATGATGCGTGGTAATGGATGCAAGCTTGCAGTAACTTATTATCAGTCTATGCGGTAGCCTTATGCGTTGGCATACACACCCGAGGTTTATTAAACTGTATCATTATTCATACACACATTGGCACACATTTTCTTTAGTCAGTTGTGGCATCAGCACATTTCTTAGTGGTAGGTGGGAGTTTGCAGGCAGGACTGAGCCATAATGAGTCCTGGGCTCTGTGTGGAGGCTGGCAGGCTTCCTACACTGACCTGCTGTTGTGGCTCCCGAGAAACAGACTCAAGCACATTTATCCACACTGAGGTACTATGAGGTACAGCAATCTCTATTGTTATTACTGTCACATTGGAAATTGTATTCATCATGCATGCATCTTGAAACGATGTCCAATTTGAGCATTGAATCGCACTGTCAGCAATTTTAAAATGTAATCTTGATTTTTCCCTTTTAATTGCTTGAAGGCTTGATTTGTATTAACTTTAACTGCAGAAAGATGTGCAGCATGGTTTAAGATTGACAGGAATACTTGGTAAATACATTATACTAATGGAATAATTATAACTTGATTTGGAGTGATTTATTTCTGTAGGGTTCAGAACATGAAGTAGGCACACTGTCAAAGGGCCAATTGCTGAGACAAAGATGGTAGTTCCCTCCTGTGTTCCCTCACCATGCTTATGTTGCTTTTAAAAACATGTTATTTAGGTGCGTGAGCTGCAGCTTGAATATGGATAATTTGATCTTATTAACATAGGACTCAACTGTTGAGTCATTTCTGAATAGTATCTGATTGCAGCAAGCTCGTGAAGACATCTCGAGATAGCCCGACGTGAATAACATTTGATTTGGGTTTTGGTGCTGCATTTATTTGCATTCATCAAATACTTTATGCTGAGAATTCTCAACATTTTCCTGTTTGTTGATCTAATGATATGTTTATTTGCTTGTTCATATTCTTTTTTTACATTCATACCCTATAATTAGCTTCTTTTATTTCAAGATGGATTTGAAGCACTTAAAGTCATCATGTTGATGTACTTAATACAAAAGATATAATATCACAGTGAATTTTTCTATCTGTTTTGGATCATTTGTTGTCTTGCCTCACTTGTTGCCTGGTTTGTCCTAAATCTCCTTATCAAATTACTTTGATGGAGACGCATATAATTAATGTGCTGTGTAGCAAGAGAGAGGCCTTGAAGACATCTTTTCAAACCCAGATTTTCAGTTTCTATGGCATCTTCACTTCTCCTTTATCCTTCCTTTCTTTAAGCTCCTCTCTCTGTCTGCCTGCGTCTCTCAGCTGCTTCTCTGTAGTGTTAATCTCTGACAGACACTGCTCCCATTCCCAGCGTGCATCTGAAACAGCAGCACACATTTCTGAGGAAAAGGAGAAAACACATTGGTAAACATCACTCTTCAGATATTTCCTTTGGCTTTTTGATGTCATCCATTACAGTTTCTCTCACCTCCCACCTTTCATTGAAAAAAAAACAACAACAAAAACAACAACCACCATTCACACACTCATTCAAGTCTGTGTTGATTTTGCTCTATTCTTTTGGGTGGCAACTTCAAACAACTGCAGTAGTTTTTTTTTTTTTTTTTCTCCCATTGACGTCTTTATCAAGAGTGACTCAGCTACAGATGAAACCTCCTTATCTCTGATGTATTAGAATGACTAATGCACTGAGCTACTCTAATCTAGTTTACTACTGACTATTATCAAATTGAAATACTCAATTAAATCAATATTAATGATATAAATTTTTTATATATATATGACTGTTGTGAGCAATTATTAATGTGTTGAAATTGCATACCTTTTTAAGGCCTTTTGGCAGCAGTATAAAAAATACAGAGACTATAAAATGTACTTTAACATAGTCACAACAATATGAAATAGAGCAGTAGATCAGTATTTTCTATTTGCTTATCTGGGAGGAATAGGAGGCATATGTATTAAGGGTGAAGTATGTGAGTTGTGCTACATGAGAGCAGGCTAAGTGGACAGTAATATGTGTTGCGCTGTTCCACCTACATATACTGTCAGTCGTGTTGACCTCATTCAGTCTGGGTGGTCTATCATCTACTGTTCTGACAGCCTACTCACTCTACACATAATTCTGCATCTCACTGGAAAATGCTCATAGAATTTGTTTGAATCATCAAGAGAAAAATGGTCCAACCCCCCACTCCCCCACCTACCCTTTATATACGGGTGTAATCTGATTTATAGTGTTAGTTATTTTCTGCATGATTATTTGGATACTGTGGTTTAGTATTTATTATTTTACCTTTTAAGTTTTATTGAGCACTTACATTTGGACATGGCAGCAGATGTAACAAAACAGCTGCTTTCATAACTTCATAGTTTTATACTCAAGGCCAAGGCTTGCCCAAATTACAAACTTAGCAATATAAAACGTTTTAGGAAATGTCGTAGATAATGTAAAGTCGGTGTTTTTGCGTGCGTGAGTGCGTGAGTGCGTGAGTGCGTGAGTGCGTGAGTGCGTGAGTGCGTGAGTGCGTGAGTGCGTGAGTGCGTGAGTGAGTGCGTGAGTGCGTGAGTGCGTGAGTGCGTGAGTGCGTGAGTGCGTGAGTGCGTGAGTGCGTGAGTAATTTACCTGATACATAGATGTCAGAGCTCCTCCTATAGCACCTTTAGATTTCAAGAGCATGATTGACTTACGTACATGGTTAACTGGGTCTGGTTCACTGCTGAGACATTACCTGTAGTGTCGCAGTGCTTTTTGAGTAGATCTCCACTAGCTTTATTGCGCTATTTGAACATTATTAATAGAGATCCTGATCTGTTTTACAACCTACTCCCTGTGTAGGCTTAAAATTTGGACCAGTGATTGCTGTCTTATCTGTCAACAATGTTCATAATGCTTCTGATATGATTTCCTAATGTGTGGGCATACGTTACCATTTTATATTGCCTTCTATAGAGACACACGTACCTTTTTGTAAGCATAGAAAACCTTCCTTATCAGTGTATCCTGAAAGCAAGCAGAACGTGACAGTGTGGCTGGCCTTGGTACTCTGCAGTGGACCATCTCTGCAGTGGCGAAGGCTTGGCACGTGTCGGGTCAGAGCTGCAGAAGCCTGTTGTAGGGCGCTGATGACTCACCGCTCCATTGGGGCATCTGTGAAGTGAAGCTATTGCCTTCCTTCACAAATCTCTTCTTCATCTCAAACCAGCCTGTGGCAATTGGTTTATTTGAATGCTACAAACTAGTAGAAATAGGAGGGTTTAGCTTCACCTCTTTCTTGTTGAAAATTGTGAAAAGAAGTTTTTTTCTTTTGGGGCTTGACAGCATATTGCATATTAAAATGAAATATACATGTGCCATATTTTCAGTCCATTATCTGTCCCCTACAGTGTTTATTGGCATAAGCTTTGCATGAGATGTACAATATGGTCTTGGATAGTATGAACATAAGTCCAAAGGCATTATCCTGCTCACTGATGTGCTAAATGAAAATTAGTTTATATCAGTGGAGTAGAGGTCATAATGAATTAAGTAAACAGACCTTACATGCTCACCAAAGATCTGATCATTATCTGATTTCTGGAATTATTAGATTATCATTGTCCAGTAAACAGTTACATCTGATATGAGTAATCTGATTTCTTTGATTGTTCACACTTGTGCATTTTTGAGGGGAAAAAAACATTAGATTTAAACAGTTATATTAAACTTAATTGTTAATGTTTAATCTGTCTGAAATCAGTCTTCCACGTACAACACTGACTCTAGAAATCCAATGAATAATTTCCATTTCTCAAGGTATTCACCATGATCATCAGATTTCTTTTGTGCATGTCAACACACAACAAAAATTAGACCTAATTATTTGGTTAATTGATTGTTCTTGTTATGTTTTAAATAAAATGCAAGGATAGTTTATTTACAGCTACAAGCAAAGCAGTGGTCATACATTTGAGCCTCCTTTATATATCTCATTTTAGCGTTCAGTGCAGTGGGCTTTCATTGGATTCCTTCACAGCTCCCATGCTTGGACATTGATTTCCAATTGTGCTTGAATTATT